TCAACCTCCTCAACCACCTAACCCCTTTGATGCCAACATGTTCCAGGCAGCTTTCACAGCAGCAGTTGCAGCTGCTGTGTCAGCAATTAACACTCCTGTCCCAAGTGGATCAGGAACAGGTGCACCTTCCTCGAACCACGGCAAAAGCCATGGACACCCTCGGGAATGTACCTATAAAGACTTCACTAACGCCAAACCCCACAACTTCAACGGAACTGGGTGTGTTATGGTGTTGAGACAATAGATTGAAAAGATGGAATCTGTCTTTGAAATCCGCACTTGCCAAGAAAGCAACCAAGTCAAGTTCGTAGCTTGTACCTTCTCTGACAGGGCACTAACATGGTGGAACGGCCATGTTAAATATATGAATCTGGTGGTGGCATATTCCATCAGTTGGGAACACTTGAAGGACATGCAGATGAGAGAGTACTGTCATCGGGGAGAAATACAAAAACTCGAGCAGGAACTCTAGAGCCTGCAAATGCTTGGATCAGACATGGGAACCTACACGAATAGGTTTTGTGATCTGGAAATCCTATGCCCTGATATGGTTGCTCTCGAAAGCAAGAAGATAGAGAGATATATCTGGGGGCTGTCTCCCCAGATTCAATCAAGTGTATTAGCTTCCAAGCCTATCACTTTTGATAGTGCCAAGGAGCTGGCACAGTCTCTCATAGACCACGGGAAACACAGGAACCCAACAATCCCTGCATCCGTACCACCAAAGGCCAACAACAAGAAGAAAGGGTGGTCTAAGAGGAAAAGAGGGGCTTCGCAAGAATCCTCCAAGAGACAACAACTTGTAGTAATAAATGTTGCCACAGTAACTCCTGTTGTCCCTATGAACCCCTTACCAACAAAAACATATGTTGGAACCCTTCCGAAGTGCACCAAGTGCAACTTCCACCACCACGAATCTTGCAAGGAGATGCAGTTCTCTAACGTTCGTGGTTTTGGGGTGTGACAATATCAAACATAAAGTGTAATCATAAATAAAGTAAAATTTCATATTAAAATAATATATCTACTTCTATTTACAAAGTTATGTTTTTAGCTTTTAACATACTATACTTAATTTATTAGATTTAATATGTTGTTGTATGTAAACCATTATCAGTTTAAAGCTATAACTTTTAAACAGATTGGATAAAATACTTAAATTGTTAATTTAAAACACTACCTGATCAACTTAAATATAAATTTCAGTGCCACTTAAAAAACCAAAGAATATTTTATGAATAATTAAAAGTGATAAATTATAGTGCTAAATGCAAAAGAACTATTCTCAATTTAACTAAATTATTTCCTAAAGATATTTTTATAGACATTAAATGTTTTCAAATAAGTAGCTTAAAATAACTTACAATAATAGTAGTTAGAAATAACTCTATATAAATTATTATATTATTACCTTTAAATACGAAAAACAATGTTTGATTTTTAAATATGTTCAATGATAAAATTAATAAGTTAAGAAAATAAGTTTAAAAAATTAATTAACAATAACAACTATAAAGAACATTAAACCATATATTATATTTTATTTATTTCATGAGTAACCCACAAGTAAAGGTCATTCAAACGGATGAGGTTATGCAGTTTTAATAGATGTATATATTATCATATAATTCAAAATAATCAATACATTATATCAACTCAGTATATCAAATTTAACAACAACAATAGTTAAAAATATGTTACAATAATCAAATTACTATATCAAACTATTGAAATCATATAGTTTGAATAGATGTATATATTATCATATAATTAAAAATAATCAGTATATTATATCAATTTAATATATCAAATTTAACAACAACATTATTTTTATATTTCGGAAAACACATATTTATAAATATTTCAATTATATAGGTGTTTCTGCACAACGCGCGGTAATTTGCCTAGTATATATATATATATATATATATATATATATATATATATATATATATATATATATATATACACTAATAAAAGAGTAGTTTTTTTTTGTCATGTGTCACCATGTTAGGCATTGTAATTAATATCATGATACTTATCAATCTATTAATTCTCCATTTCAAATTTTAAATTTCAAAATTTAAATCACATTTTAATTATATTAAATTAATAATATTAGAATAAAAATAAAATAAAATTTATACCAATTATAATAAAATAAAATTTATACCAATTATAAGATGATATATTTTACGTATTTATTTGAACCAACGATTATAATTTTATATATAACTAAAAAAATATCTTTTAATTAATAAGTTATTTGAAATTATTAATTAATAGTTTTGAGTTTTTTACTTAGAAATTTTAATTAATTTTGTAACTGTGGTTCCCACAGGTTATAAACTAATATATATATATATATATATATATATATATATATATATATATATATATATATATATATATATATATATATTCATCTAAAACTATTAAATTTGCATTTATATCCAAACTCATAATTTATTTAGGATTAAAACAATTTAATATTAAAAAACTTAACCAAAATTTACAATTTCATATGGATGTTACAAAAATCCCATTGAAAATTAAAAATTATGGTTAAATTAATTTAATTAACATTAAGTGAGAGTTTCATTAACCAATGAAAATGTTCAACACCTATATATTATGTAATAAGTTATAACCAGTGTACTACACAGTTGACAACGTAAAATAATTTTAAAAGTTAAGAGATGTTACAATTAATAATATATTTAACAATGTTTTTTTTTGGAAACTTAGATGCATTAGTTTTAGTTATTAATTTAAATTAGTTTTACAAAATGTTTTAAGATATGAATAGCATTAATTAATGATATTGATCATGTGGTTTAATAAAATATATAGTTATAAAAATCAAACATGAAAAAATTATCCTTAAATAAAAGCTATTCTATTCCGCCAATATATATTGATAATTTTGATAATGGATATGGTTCATCAAATTTCCCAAAATATGATTAAACACATTTAAGTATAATAAATAACAAAAAAAAGTACTCAAAATATAGAAGAAATGAGCAAACCACCAATTGATGCTTTTAACTTTGAATGAATAATGATGAAAATGTGAAATGTAAAAAAGATTAAAATAAAAAAAATGTTCATTCTATTACTCGAATTGAGAACCCCAAACAACAAGTGTATTAAAAAAAAAAAGGTTGTTTCCACTACCCTACCTTTCATTCGAATTATACAAAAGTTTATGACCAAAAATTTACAATCACGGGATCTGATGACCAAATATTTTTTGTGATTCTTCATAACATCATATAAATGTGGGTAGTCAATGACAAAAAAAAAATGCAATTTTGCATCCTTACTAAAACAATATACAGATCAACAAAAGCTTGATGTTAATTATTAAAGCTTCAAAATACATTATACATGTAAACAAAAATAAATTTACAGGGTAACAAAAATCTAGAAATGAAAACATCAATAATCTCGAAATCTATCGTTAATTGCACATTTTTAAGCTTCTAGAAAATATAAAAAATCAATATCCTCAAGTATGATAAACTTTTTATAACTTCTCATAATTATTTCCTATTGCATACTCTTTTGTAGTCCACCATTGCACGTTTTGTATTTCTTGTAGGGTCTAAGAACAATTCAAGATTTAGAAAACATTGAAAATAAACTTTCAGAGTTAACTTGATCAAGTGTCAACGTAATCAAATACATCATCCGGAAGTACAATTTAGCCTTTCACCTAACAACAACGTTGGGGTCCATGTTGAGTTACCCACATGCTGAGAGAAGTAAGTTAATGATCTTTAGGACTTTCTAGTTTCTCCTATATCTATGTGAAGTTACTGATCTTTTGCTGATAGTTATCAAGAAGAATGGGAAGTTACTCTATCTTTTTGAAATTATATGCTAAATAATACCATATCCTTAGCAGGTACACTGACATTTCATTTCAGATGGAAAAGGTCTTGGACTAACATCAATTATTACTTGTTCTTGTTATTGATCAATTGCTTTTACCAATGCATTATGAGTTGTTGTCATTAAAAATCAAACACTCCTATAAAAAGAGATTAAAGTTGGATCTTTACAATCAACTGTGAAATTGGAATAGCTAAGAATCACAAAAAAAAAACATTATCATCAAAAAATAGGATTTGAAAAAATTAAAACTAACATGAATGATCTGATCACCAACTATCTATATAAAGAAAAATACATGGATATGATATCATTTAGATTCCAAAATCGAATTAAATAACAATATTTTAGATGTTATATCTCTTGCCTCTCATCTATAATTTTTTTGCCAATTTGGAGGTGAAGACGAAGGACTGAAAAAAGCTACATTTAGATATTTAAACTTAGTCCTTATATTATAAGAAGGGAAAATTTAACAAAAATCTAGAATTGATCAGTAATTAAAAAGAACCACATCCAAGTATAACCTTAGTTATTTGAGAAACTGATATGATCAGGATTAGGTTTAGGATTATTAGAATAAAGTTGACAAACCTGGATACAAAGAGTTGAATGCAATTTAAGCACCATGTCTTCACTCGCGACATCACCATATGTGAGACATTTTCACAAACACCTGGTGTGTGCTTACCAGTTACTCACTATTTTATCAAAGGACATCAATAAATGTTAACTATAAAATTAATAACATTCAACAATAATGAGAGAGAGAGAGAGAGAGAGAGAGAGAGAGAGAGAGAGAGAGAGAGAGAGAGAGAGAGAGAGAGAGAGAGAGAGAGAGAGAGAGAGAGACTATGGTTCCTTTGACATCCAAGATGCTTGTTTATGCTTCTAAGAGACATAACCCATTCTCGCTCAAATTCCCTTCAGTTGTACTCTCTTTATCACCCACTCTTTTTCTTTGGAAAATTTTGAAAAAATAAAAAGAAAAGAAAAAACGATTTACAATCCAGAAGGCCATTATGATTAGAAACATAGACACCTTACCTTCAAACCCATTGATTTGCTGCTTTTGTTCCATCTTTTTCAATAGCCATTAGATGCTTGAGAAGGAAATCAAGTCGAAACTAAGAGAGATTGAGAAGGAAGTGACAAAATACAACAGAAAGTTGGGCAGTGATGGAAGTCATGCGCTGGTGGAAGAGACGTGGTGGGTTTAGCTATCGTGTTTTGGAGTTTGGTTTAGATTAGCATAGGCGGTGGTAGGGTGTACAGTGGAGGTAAGGTGGTGGTTATGTAAAAGAGAAAATACCATAGACAAAAAAAAAGGGGGGAAATTTAAAAATTTAGTCACAAAAAAAAAAATCCAGCTATAGACATGAATTCCGTAGAGGGATCTCTGCGGACCTCCGCGGATAGAGGTATTTTTATAATTCACCTCCGCGGACAGGGGCATTTTCGGTATTTCACATTCATCTTTTCCACAAAACCGGACCCTCCTCTTTGGTCCCCCAACTGGTCCCCCATTCCTCGTTTACGAAGACGAGTCTCTGTATCGACTCTCCACCGGCTTCTCCGACAGCACTCCGGCGACCGACGACGACGACGAAACCGGCGACCAAGATCGACTTCCGGCAGTAGAAATGGAGGAGAATCTCCCAAATATTTTAAGCGATGGTTTAGGCTCCCATGTAATTGTCACTTTCCCTTAATTCGATTAATGTAGTATATGTTACGAAATTGTTGAAAACCGGTTAGATTAAACTGAATGCTCAAAAAAATGCGCTAAGAACTGAAAAAATTGGGGGTTTAGGGTTCGACGGTGGGAAGATCCATTCCGCGGTGGGCAAGATCCATTCCGCGGAGGGTTATATCAGTCTGTGGAGGACCCTCCGCGGAGTGAACCAATGCTCCACGAAATATAGAAAAGAGGCTCCGCGGAGGGTGGAGGTCGATCCACAGAGGCTTCTCCGCGGAATGACCTATAGCCTCCGCGGAGTGAACCAATGCTCCATGAAATATAGAAAAGAGGTTCCACTGAGGGTGAAGGTCTATCCGCAGAGTCGTCTCCGCGGAATAACCTATATCCTCCGCGGAATGACCTTAAAAGTGATTTTGTAATTTTTTTATCTTTCTGTTATATGAAATTAAATTTAAATATTATGTTTTGCAGCACTTAGACCTCAATCAAAAAGCTGATTTAACTTTAAAAGGTGTGGTGGGTACCATCATTAATAAGTATTTTCCGCGGCTAACACAATCACAACGACAATTATTCGAAGCTTCGCTGTTTGGAATACTTTTAGGGATGCATATCCCACATGGTGATTCGTTACTTGTGCATCTGATGATGTTGCACGAAGTAAGGACTCAAGAAGTATTTGAAATAGGGAGGTTTTTATTTGATATAGAAGGGAGGTATTTGGAATTTGATGAAACAGAATATATTCTCATTTGTGGTCTAAAAGTTGGTTGTTATGTGGATTTACTCTATGATGAAAAAGGCCAGTCAAATTCAAGTCTTCGTGCTCGTTTGTTCCCAGACATTTCTGATGCACGTTTGCGGTTAAAAGATTTGGAAGACTTCATTATGTCTCCTAAATATTTGGAAGTTGAAGATGAAGATGTTGTGATGCTTATCCAGCTAGTGTTTGTGTTGAAGGGACTCCACGGACGGGACGTAAAAATGTGCATTCCCGCTGCAATATACAATCTTGCTAATAATAGAGATGATTGGAACAGGTATTACATTTAAATATTGTGTATTAATAGAATACAATAATAATAATAATAATAATAATAATAATACTAATAATATTCATATTGCAGGTTTGCATGGGGTACGTATCTTTGGAGGTATACTTCGCGGATGATGCGTGTAATGTTTAAAAAAAATAGTAGAATTTAGAAAATTCAAGGAGGCCAACCCCGAATCCAAGAAAATATACAAGTATACCGTTCTTGGTTTTATGCTGCCATTTAAGGTTATTTTCTAATAAATTTAATTACTTATCATTGTTTTGTTTTTATACGCTAATAACATTCAGCTTCTTTCTATAGATCTAGATTTTGGAGACGTTCCCCGAGACAACCAAATTTGATGTACACATCCCAATAGAATTGCCAAGGATGAGGTGTTGGAGAAGTAAATCAGCGTTATCTTAGGAGAACTGTTGTAGAATAATCAACGTGTTTGTGGTATGCTTTTTATATTAATGATTATTTATACTTACAAATTCCATGTATTTTCATTTTAAAGTAACAATTTGATTTTAATTTTAAATTTTTGCAGCCTAACAACCAACCTATTCAAGTGGTGGCAAACAAGACGGAGCTGATGTTGCCCTTTTATGTTCGATACGTGAATTGGACCCTTAACCATGAAGAGTCTCCTCCACCGCAACAGTCTCCACCGCAACATAGTCAGGTCCGAAATAGTCCACCTGCTGTTCAGTCGCCTCCTCGTAGAAGTATGTACAAGTCGGATACATGTTCGACTGAATCTGCCACAAATGCTTCTTCCTCGCAAAAGCATGAAATAGAAACGAGGGTGGTAAAGAAGAAGAAGAAGAGTAGCACAAAGGCATTAGTGAAGCGTCTACTAGGCATCGTGGCTAAATTATCATCTAAAGTAGACCGTGTATTAGAAGAAAAAGATGAGCCAAAGAAACGGTTTGTAGAGGATGAGGAGGAAGAGGAGGAGATGATAAACGAAGAGGGTGAAGAAACATATTGCCATGATACGCAATTCGACTATGCTGGTTTGGGGGAGAAAGTTGCGCCTACACCTACGGAGCCGTCACCAGACTTGGGTGAACATGACACAAAAATAGCGACTCCTATTGGTAGGCCGCAACGAAAGAGGGCTCCAGCATGGTATCAGTGCACTCCGTTCACAGTGGTAAAAAACTCATATCTTAAACTTGGTATTTTTAAAAAATACTACATTATTGATAATGATTAAACATGTTGATTTTTTAGGTGCAATCGACACCAAAAGTAAAGAAAATCAGCAAGACAAGGAAGAAAACAAATAGAGGAGAGTCCTGAAAAACAAATGAGGACACTATCAATGCAGAGAGTAGTGACGTTCCTTCAAACAATCTCTTGTTGGACAGTATTTATACTACTAGTCCGATGAGTTTTTGGCAAAAATGGAGTTTAATCTCTCCCAAATTGATCACTAAACATAGGTTGCATGGATAGTCGTCGGATTTTTCGTATATAGTCATGGATGGTCGTCAGATTTTTCGTATAGAGTTATAATATTTTTTAAAATTTAAAATGACTTCATCTTCATCTTTGTATATTTGCTCGTGCAACGAAGTTGATTGTTTCTATTGTGATCCGATCGACCCTTTTCTTGCACCATCACCAAATTTAAGAGAGCCATATATGTCGGAGGATACTTTGCAACAACTACAATGGGCTGAAGAACAATAAAAAAAAAAAGATGAAGGCTCGTCTCGGGCTCTCACTGAGCGTCGTGAGCTCATTGCGGAGGAGTGCAAAGATGTTGAGGAAAGGATGACGATTACAAAAAAAAATCAAAGATCATGAGGAATCGATAAAAAAAAACTAAGAAGAATCTTAAATTGTCTGAAAAATGGCTTGCTGACAAGGATGCAGAAATGATAGAACTTGGTAGGCAAAAGGACCGTATGGAAGATAAAACAAGAATAAGGGACGACTACATAACAATGGAGAAAGAAAAGTATCCTTTGCAATTCCCTTAAGTTAATTACCGTTGTTGTACGTTTACTATATGTTTCTAGTTTGTTGAATGTATTAATTTCGAGTATTAGTTATTATTCTACTAGTAATTATGCAGCAATATAATCATAATATTACCCATCATCTTTAAAATAAACACACCAGCTCAAAGTAGACAAATTAATGTCCTCTAAAACAAAACATAATTAATTATAAATACAATATCAATCATTCAAATCAAACGTTGAACAATAGTCTTCTCTCCGCGTCCCACTCATCCAACGCGTCTCTTGTGTCCTGTGCGTCTCTAGCATCTCCTGAATCCCTTCTGTCCCTTTCCCTTTTCCTTTTGTGTTACTACCTGATACCGTACTAGTTTTTCTAGCCTTTTTTGTTTCTTTGGGACCAATGCCGGACAAGTCGCTGCATTATGTGTTGTACTATCACATCTACTACACCTTCTTATTATAGGTTCCTCACCTTGTGACGGAATACGATTTCTGCTTCTCGGTCTACCAGCTTGACGTGTATCCATTATCGGGGGTTTCACAACCATCATGTCAGCAGGAATCTCCCAGTCACACGGTTCTGGAAGGGGGTAAACCGACTCCTCATATGTACTTCGTTATGTTTCCATTTTGTAAGCATCCATAGCCAGATGTCCGAAGTTAGTTTTTTTCAAGTGCTTCAAGACCATTATCACATGACCACAAGGCAACCCAGTTCCTTCCCAATATTTTCATGTACAAGTCTCTTGCCTCAGATCAACTATGCCACCATGTTTGAAATCATGAACTTCATAAAGTGCATCTGAAACACCAGAAACGGACCATCCTGTCGTACGCTCTTCATTTTTACTAACTACTTTTTCAGCCCACTCGGTTAGCACTGTTGAACGTTCCCCTATAAAGAAGATATATATAATTAACTAATTATTCGACCTAATTAAAGTCAAAATAAAATTCATACCTCCTTCGATGCGATGCTTGTAACACCATTCCTGTGAAAGACGTCGGAAGAACTCAAGAAGGGGTATTATAGGCATCTTCCTTGCATCTACAGATAAAGCATTCATGGACTCTGCACTGTTCGAGGTCATGTAATCGTAACGTTTCGACGACGAATATGCTATAGTCCATTTAGCACGGGGAATTTCAATTAGATACGCTACTACTTGCGGCCTAGTAGAACTAAATCTATACCACAAGTCCTCAAAAACATTTCTTTTGTAAGCTTTCAGAAGCCTCCAAAACAACACTTTTGTTTTATCATTTTTCCCAAACTTGTGTACTATGTTTCCTAGTATATGAAAAGCACACAAGCCATGATGAGCATGTGGAAAAACATTTTCAATACTAATGCGAATTGCATCGGCCCTATCAGTTACAAAAGTCAATTCTTGACAATCACCAACACATTCATACAACTTTTCAAGAAACCATGTCCACGTAAGACCACTCTCTTTTTTGCATATTCCGTGCGCAAGGGGCAGTATCTAGTTGTTCCCATCCATAGTTACTGCATGCAATATGGTTCCCTTAAAAGCACCCTTCAAATGGGTACCATCCATAATTATAACTTTACGACAAAATCTTTTGAACGCTTGTATCTGCAATATATAAAAATGGAACACATAAACACTCTATAATTTTTTTACAAAAATTATATATTAAATAACAACAAGTTTTTTGTATTTACCGTGCTCCTAATGGCATAAAAACAACACTCGAAACAATCTTCAGAATCTGTTTGAATATACGCAACTGTACCAGGATTATACCTCTTCAAATTGTGAAAATAAAGGAAGTTTGGAAAAACATTCTTCAGAGGATCCCAACAACAGTTCCATAGCATATTCTTTTGCACGCCAAGCTTGTTTGTAATCTACGTTGACTTCCAGTAAAGCATTCAAATCCCTTGATATTTCATTAGGCCTCCAAACCTTGGAACGAGTTTTTCCCATAATCTCATGCAATATAGTACCCATGACTTTTTTATTAGCATGCTTATGATTAGGGTGTATCTGTAATGACGAACATGTGTGCATGTTGTTGAAAGTCCCGATTTCAAATTCATCAGTGGGATCAAGGCGTTTTGCATACAAACGCCAACTAGAGTTCTCAATTTCACAATATACCTCATAACAATTTTTGTTAGAATGTTTGGTCTTAAACTGAAACTTTTCTCTTATTGCTTTAAGACTCAAAGAAAAAATTAGTTGTTGTTTGTTGTCATACATTTGACGAACAAATATATCATCATTTGGACCTAAACTGTGAAATGGTCCGGGTTCAACAATAGGATCAGGGCAATCAGGTATGGGAGACATACCGTAAAATATGTCTGAAGCTTTTTTCCCGTGTATGAACTCATCTTCTGACCATCCTTCATTTGACTTTTCACCGTCTGAGAAAGTTTTGTCAGTCAGTCTTCCAAACTCATATAAATTTTTTTCTTCAACCATATTCAGTGCCACAGTTTCTTCTTATGGACAATCTTCAATATTATCAGATACAATGTTTTCAACATTGTATGATACAACTTTCTCTGCCACTTTTGTCTGTTCGACCAATCCCTGAAACACCTCTAAATACAAATGCACAATCTCCTGCGTTTCATAAATTACATTTCTGAGTTGATGAACATCTGCTTCATCTAAAATATTCATCACATACCCATGAACCGGGTGTTGAAATGACAATGATATATTAGTATTGAACACCTTAGCCTTACTTTTGACCAAATCAAACAATATTCGACAATCAAAATTAGGCGGAAGCAGTAAACCCAAGTTGTTTAACTTTGGTCTAACGTAGGTGTTAATCCCATTACTTATCTGCCAAAAACCTCCGGTACATAAAATAACAAAACTCATATTTGGTTTTGAAAATCAAATGAAAACGAACTGATCTATCGACCAAAATGAAACAAACATATGAAAAAGAAACTTTTGTATCAAAAAACTCTTCAAAATCCGCTCCAACCACCCATTCCGCGGAGGCATTACTCTCTCCGCGGAGCTCCGCGTCGACCTTTCCGCGGACTGAGTTATGACTTCCAACTGCTTCATCCGTGGAGGCATTACTCACTCCGTGGAGCTCCGCATCGACCTCTCTGCAGGGTATTTACGAGTAGGGATGTCAACGGGGGCAAACGGGGCGGGGAGTGCATCTCCCGCCCCCGTCCCCGAAATTTCCCTGTTCCCCTGCCCCGCCCCCGCCCCCGGAATGTTCAATGTTCCTACCCCGCCCCCGCCCCCGAATCCCCTTTATTACCCCCGCCCTCGCCCCCGTTCCCCTGCCCCCGATTGATTTTGGGCTACTTTTTTTTGGGCTAAAAGAAGTTGTTATTTAGGCTAAAATATGCTATTTTTTAGATAACAAATAATTATTTATAGCAGAATTTTATATGTTAAAAATAAAAAAAATTTATAGCATTTTAAAAAATTATACTAACAATTTAAGAACATGTTTTTTGATTAATTTTGGAAGCTCAAAATCATGTTATTTTTTATTATATTTATATAATTAATATATGTAAATATATGTGTAATTTATTAATGGGGTCCCCATGGGGATTTCGGGACGGGATTGCCTACCCCGCCCCCGCCCCCGAAATTAAAACGGGGGTTAACGTTGCCCCCACCCCCGATTTTTTTAAAAGAAATCCCCCAAACGGGACGGGGTCCCCACGGGACTTTTTGACATCCCTATTTACGAGATCCAATCAGCTCTCTCTGCGGAGGTTATATTGAATCCGCAGAGACCCCTTCCACGGAGCATGCTTAAAAAGGCTAACAACCTATTTTTCGACCACTTCGCAGAGATGACGTCATTCCGCGGAGGTCCGCAGAGGTCCCTCCACGGAATTCATGTCTATAGCTGGAAAAAAAAAATTGTGTCTAAATTTTTAAATCCCCCCCCCCCCCCCCCCCCCTTTTTTTTTTGTCTATAGTCGGTATTTTCTCTTTATAAAATCGATGGATGAAGCAGGGAAGTCGGGGGTATTGGAAGACGAAAACAAAGATAATAAGGAGATGGTTGCGGATTTTAATCGTGATTTATTAAGATTAAGTTGAATATCAATGAAGACATTCCTGATTTTGTGTATTTTAGAATTTGAATAAGTGATTTTGTTTCCAACATTTATAGGAGAAATTGAATAAACTGATACAATGACTTTTTTATTTTGTATTATATCAAATTGATACATATTTTTAGATAAATATTTAAAATTTATATTGATTTTAGTCTATTCTTATCTAAAATATTTGCTCGAATAATCATTTCTATCGAATGTTGTTTTAGTTTATTGTTATCTAAAATATTTGATCAATTAATCATTTATATCGAATGTTGGTAATCATGAACTTATTATCGGTTATTATTTTTAATTATGTTTTCAATGAAGAAACATACATTAAAACATTTAATGTATGAAAAAAAATTCCATTTACACACATTTATCTTTCTCTTACATAAATTTCATTTTCAACTCTAATATATATAACTTAATAGGTGTTCGACAAAAAGAAGTGATATAAGAATTTTCCATACATTAAAACATTTAATGTATGTTTCTTCATTGAATACATAATTAAAAATAATAACCGATAACACGTTCATGATTACCAACATTCAATATAAATGATTAATCGATCAAATATTTTAGATAACAATAAACTAAAACCACATTCTATAGAAATGATTATTCGAGCAAATATTTTAGATAACAATAGGCTAAAATCAATATAAATTTTAAGTATTTATCTAAAAATATGTATCAATTTGATATAATACAAAATAAAAAAGTCATTGTATCAGTTTATTAGATTATATGGAATCAGATTTGAACTTTATGAAAAACAAATATGAAAAAAATGTGTTGATATATTAAATAATAAAATATATTTTAAAAGTAAACATGCTCATATTATTACGTTGGACTAAAAATACTTTATTATATTTGGAAATCTGATGCATTAATTCGTCCCATTTATTACATTTATATTTGGAAATCTTATGCATTAATTCGGCCATTTATTACATTTATATATTGCTGTTTTAGGAATTATAAGAAAACTAAAATGGAATATATATTTGGTCTATTTATATGAACATGCCAATCCACAAAACAAAAACATTTAGAAATTACCAGGTAAAACAATTGTGAGTGATTTGGATTCCAAACACATAAACATGGTGAAGCTCACATACTCTTACTTATTATTCCTTATTGTAGTTATTACAGGTTTGTCAATTCAAATTTCTTTATAATTATGTTGTAAAATATTATTTTAATTTTATAATGCATATTCAAGGAAGTTCATTATAAATATATTTATATAACAAAAAAAATCCATTTTGGCTTAAAGTACATGCTGGTGTGATTATGTTATTATCCAAATATTTTGATATATAATATAGTGGAAAAACGTATCATCTATGGAATATTATAAATTTGATTATAGATTTAAAGATTCATGTATTTTATATCTATTTTTATAGTCCATAATATTATAGTTATGGATTTTTCAATTGTAGTTGGAGTTTCAATGGCCCATGGACAAAAAATATGTAGAGATGTGTTGGATCCACACAATTGCAATCCCGTTCATTGTCAACAACAATGTCTTAAAAAACATTATGGTGGCGCAGGAGAGTGTTGGCAATCTGGTGTAATCGGTCCTTATCATTGTGTGTGTAGTTTCGTTTGCGGTTAAACTTAAAGACTCCATTTGAAAATAAGTAAAATAACACTTGATAGCATTTGTGATGTGCTCTATGTATTTAATATGAAACAACCTATATTAAGGCTAGTAAAAAATAATTTCTTACAAAATCATTTAGTATGTTACTATATTTTAGAGGGTGATTTCTGTCTGAAATGTTCATTTAACATTTAAACGAAAATCTTATACTTCCAATATGAAGGTGTTTAAATTCAATATCATCACAAAAGTTTAATTAAACATACAAGTTATGACCTTTTTAAATATCCAATGTAATTTACGTTTCGTCTTCATCTGCGGACACATGTCAAAATATACGTTAGGCTTGAGGAGCCTAGTGAGTAATAACGAAATCCTACTTTGCAATAGAATTAGATAATGAAAATAACACAATTCCTATGTCTTAATTCCCCAACAGATTTGAAAATTGTTTTATAAATAACAAATCCTTTTCCAAAACAAGTCAATAACACGAGTTTAAGAGTAGATGAAATTATCATCTAATAACGCGATGCACAATCTTCTAATCCCAATCTAATTCATTATGCTCTCATAAGTCCCTAGCGTCCGGATGGTCATTTGGCATAGAAAAGGTTGTAGCATTACACCAAACTTGTTGCTAATGACTTAAATGTAAAAGTAGTGTTATATACCTATATTGTAAGTCAACCGGACCCCATTGGTCAATTTTTAGGAAATTCATAAGCATCCCATGAATAACCTAAGAATAAGTTACCAGTATCTATCTATATGACCACAAAGGTCCACAAACAATTATTAAGTTGAATTAACGGGAGTTGATTCCTTCATGTTCTCAGGATCTGTCAAGTCAACACATCCCAACATGATATGCATAAGTATGATGCTTTAATAATTTTCTCAAATTAATTGACCTTGTGAACAACAATGTCTTAAGAACATGATGTCGACGTAAAAGAGTGTTGTCGGTGAAACAAGTCTATCCCCCCCCCCCCCCCCCCCCGAATTTATTTCAACTAATTCGATGTTTTTTAGCCGAAACTGGTCTATTTCTGTAACATCTGGAATCTAGAATGTCAATTTTGGACGTGAAATCCATATTTCTAATGATCAACTCATCGAGCTTGGGCAAGAAACTCGACGTGTTGGAAAGTTGGGCCGCGTGTTTTTGGAACACCAACTCGATAAGTTGGGGAGGATCAACTCTACGAGTTGGACGGGGTTTGGGAAACCCTAAAATCGGGACTCTGCACCCTATTTATACAACTTAAGCCCTAGGGTTTAGCCTCATTTCCAGCCTCCAAGTCCTTAATCCTAAATCTCGAAACCCTAAACCTATTTTGAGAGTTTGTGACTCATTTTGAGTGTTTTTGGTGAGTGTTGAAGCTATTGGAAGAAGGAAGAACTTGGAGACAAAAGAAGGAGCATATAGATCCATAATTTTTGCCTCATCCACAACACTTTTTTGGTATAAAGCTTAAACCTTCTCGTGTAGTCATATGGATCTCCATTTTAGGGTTTTTTTGGCTTGATTTGTCCAAATGAGATGGTGATTGATGTGTTGGGCTTCCCTTATGGAAAACACTTCAGATCTAGGGCATTGAGGGGATCTCATGGCATAAATGTGCCAACTTTGTCGCCCTAGAAGCCACATGCAACTTCTAAGCTCTTTTTCCGACCTTTCAAGCTCCACATGGTCATGCATGTTGATAAAGTTTAGGACTTTAAGTGTCCTTATAGTATCTAAGGTCCAGATCTATGTTCTTATGCCCCATCTTGAAGTTGTAAGGACCTTTGGATTTATATTTAAGCGTTTTGGAGTTAGGGTTTGAGCTTACTTTCTTTAGGAAAGGTATTAACGGGTAAAGTTGGAAACTTTACCCTTCTAGGGGCATTTCCAGTCTAGATCTGGAGTATAAGGTTTATATCTGAAGAATAATGGCTTAATGCATTAAGAAAGGGATTACAGGCTGAGGAACTCGACGAGTTAATGGAGGAACTCGACGAGTTAATTTGAAGTGTCACGATTCTATTTGAAAGGGGAGAACTCGAAAAGTTAAGGTAGAACTCAACAAGTTGATTCGTAGTATCATGATTATGTGATTTGTGGGAACTCGATGAGTTGAGTCAACTCGAAGCGTTGACTTGGACCTCAACTTGAATGTTGACTTTGACCTTGACTTAACTTGACCAAGGTTGACCCTGGAGGGTTATGAAGTATGGATTGGGTTCTAAAGGCTAGTTCCATGTAAGGGTTTGGGCCCAATTTGGAAAATTGGGCCATTGATGGGCTTTCATGGATTTTATAGTTTGGGACTTGATGGGTCGAGGGTGAAACGGTCATTTCACCCCAAGTAAGGATTATGGATCATGGTTTGGGACCTAATTGCTAATTGGGTGATATTTTGGTATTGATATTTCGAGCAATTGTTAGGGCAGCAGCTAAGGATTTCGTGTAGTGAGCTTCAACATTCGAGGTGAGTCTCGTCACTGTTTGTATAGGTCTAAGGAACCAATTCCGGCCCATTTGGTTTATGTATTGTTGGAAGATAGGGGGATTAGCCCTAGGCATTATTTATGAAAGACCAGGCGGTGGCTCCTGGCACACTGTATGCTAATTAGCTAAGTCAAGTAGTATGCATGCTAGTTGTCTTTGTGATACTTGCATGAAAGACTAGGAGGTGGCTCTTGGAACATGTATGTAAGACCCAGAGGGTAGCCCTAGCTTGGCAAGAAAGATCACGAGGTGGCACGCGCCATAATGGCAAGACTATCCGCGACATATAGCACCTTTACTGATTATGATCTATGAATGACATATATGGCTCACGATTATGTATCGCATGTATGAATCAATTATTTTGTATGGTATATGGTATTTGGGGAACTCACTAAGCTTCGTGCTTACGGTTTTCAGTTTTGGTTTTAGGTACCTTGAGTTTTCAAATGAAGGAGCTTAGGACGATCACAACGTACACACCTATCTTTCTGCAATATGTTATTTTTGGGAATAAACTCTGATAAATATTTTCTTTAAAATGCGTTTCAATGTGTGAACAAAGTTACAATAGT